CTATCTCTTTAAATGTGGAATGCTTGATGGGAAGAGAGTATCTAGCTACCTTATAAACAAATGCTTATTAAATAATTTTGTAGTTCTACAACAAAAGTAGGGTATAGAAATGGTTGTATTCATCCCATTAGTTGAAAATATTTTTTCAATAAGGTAAAATAAAGTTAACAACAAGATTAACAAATGATCAGTCAGTAAGGACAAGATTTCTCTAAGGAGATTTTATAGAACAAATTACATACATTTATCAAAATTATCTTAATATACTGAATAAATGTCCCAAATGATCAAATATTTTTATTCAAATATATTAATATTTTAAATGAGACACAGATCTTAATTATTTAGTTTTATAATTAAAATTATTTTTATGCTTCTATTATCAACTGATGACAAAAGTTTATTTTAGGTAAATAAGTGTATTATTTAAATTGATTTTTAGTTCTCTTCTACAATTTTAACAACTTATTTAACAGAATGACATGAAAATTTTGCTTATCTAAATCTTTTTAATCTAACAAACATTATTTAGTCTCTATATAGATGAAAGAAACTTTGAAATAGTGGTTCTCAGAGTAGGTTCCCTGAACTAGCAGAATCTGCATCACAAGGGAAACTACTGGGTAAGCAAAGGTCTCACCTCAAACCTGCTAAAAGTTGGTGTTGGAGCCAAGAAGTCGGGTCCCAACAAGCCCTTCAGGTGATTCTGCTCAAGTTGAAAAACTCTTGCCTTTAAGGATTGGTCTAAGGCCTTTGCAATGAGACAGAAACATATTTGGCAGAGTACCTACTGGTAGAACTATTGCTGACCTTCCAACTTAGTACTGTAGTTTGAGTAGTATTAAATTATTCTTAAAAATAGTGATTCTAAATATTGAAAATAGTACACATTTCATAACCAATTTCATAAGATTATATGAAGAAAAAATGAGATAATATTTGTAAAGTGCTCAGTTTATGTATATGTACTGTGCTATGCCTTGCAAATAGAGGACACTTTTAAAGTGGATAACTTTTATTCAAATTATTATTCTTACTTCACATTTTCTTCCCTCTTATTGAAATGAACAAACAAAACCACAATATATTCTGCTTATAAGTATCTACATTCATAGACACTTACAGGGAACTTGAGGAGTTTCCCCATTCAAACTCCTCTTTTTACTGATCAGAGAAGTGAAGCCCAGGAGGCTAAGTGACAGTTCTAAACCCTTACTGGGACTAATGGGCAAAGATTAGAAACCACAGCCCTCATTTTCTGGACTAATGTATTGCAGGGGAAGCAATTTGTGCTGTCCAAGGGTGCTTGGCCCTGGAATTATTTTCTTTGGTATTACAAATTTTTATCCAGTTCAAATCTCTCCATCCCTATTCCCTACTATATAAGCTGACACTATTTTCCAAATTGTGAAACTGTTTATTAGGCTTAAAACTTTCTGCATATACATAAACAGAAAGTTAATGTAAAATATACTATATTTCAAAACATTTGATGAAATCTTGATGCTGAATACCAGCTATATATCAGATGGTATGTTCAAGTTTAAGTTTCCTGTTTATAGTCACTTTTTATTTTGTGCTGCGGATTGGTAAGTAGGCATGCAAGAAATCATCTCTAACATTCTGTTTAATTTTCAAAATGTCTTTGGATTCTGTCACCTACCATGATTGTGGTACTTAATCTTTGGGTTATATGATTCTGCTTTACTCCACTATGCCAGACAGCAGCATATGGGAGAAAACACATATAAAATAAGGAGAGAATCATGCATGTATGTGTGTGTGTGTATATATATATATATAAAAATTAGAAAAACATCCAGTCACATATTTTATAATTATGCTTTTATATTGCCTGAAATATTCCCTAAACATTAAAAATTGCTAAGAGTATCATTCATGGTAGCGAAGTATGAAAATTGAAGTTTTGAAACTTCCACATATGGCATTGTCCAATCTCGTGTTTTTCTGTTGTAGGTTCACATCACATATTCATTGCTGTTTACTAGCATTAGCATTTTTCAGCCCAATGCTATCCATTGATTTAGTATTCTGCTCCTTCCCGAAATCTAGCCATCCCATGTTCAAAAACTTACATAGTAGCCTCTATAATATAGGACATGAAAGTGTGCTATATCCATTATTAGTATGAACTGTTAATGACACACTGTTGAATGAATCTTACTGTTTTATATGAAGATTTTCACAGAAAAAAAGCAGAGGTTCTATGGCTTAAATTTAAAAAAACTCATATTGCAAGCCAGGGACTGAAATAAAACTCATCCTACTTCATGCATCATTAGACCAAAAGCCTGAGGAACTGAACAAATCATTTAATCTTTTTCCCCTTTTGAAATGCTCTAAGTAGTATTGGATTAATAGCTTTTGATGCTTTTAATGATGTCAAGAATAGGATGTAAGTTCCTTATAAATTTCATGGACTGTATGCCAAATATCAAAGATAATTTCTGATCACTAATTTAATCATTTCTGATTATGAAAATCCATAACTGCAAGAAAAATATAAATCAGAAAAGTAAAATAATGTGTTAAAAATATTAGAATTTATAACAATGCTTGAACATGGACTTAAAATTCCCCTGGAAGAATTTAATGAAAGATTATAAAATATCTTTGTATTTATTATTATTTAAGTCATTGTTTCAACCTCTAATTACAGAGGTGATATTTTTCTAGTTTTTAAAACTCTCTTTAAAATTCCCAACCACAATCTTAAAACATGATGATGTATAAATCTGAAATTGTTTATTTAATTGTACTACCCTAATCAGCTAACAAGATCTCTGTGTTCTCGAATCTTGCAGCCTGGAAAAACCCAGTTATTAATCCCTTAATATCCCTTCCCAAAACTCACTGGTTTGCTGACATGTTAATAAGATTCCAAGAATGTTCTGAAGAAAGCAAGATCATCACTAAGAATGATTGTGTCCCGAATTTACAAATTAGTTGTTTTTCTTTCTCCCTTAATTTATTTTCAATTAAATGAATTCTGTCCTTGAATGTGTATACATGACTCCTTGGTTAGGATGCATTCTCCATCAAATATAAATACTGAAAGTCTTAAGGACTGTTCTTAAATTCTAATTACCTTTATAATTCAAGTACCTTAGGGTGGGTGGATTAAAAGCTCTACACAGATTCTACTTTCACTTTTTTTTTAGCCAAATGGACAATGTTTTATTCAGGATCCTAAAACAAAACCCTTATTTAGCTCATCCACATTACCTTTAAGGGTGTGTTTTCTCCTCCCTAAATGCTAGCAGTCTTAATGGCCTTAATGTGGCCTCCAAACTCTACTCCCTCAGCTGGCTCCCTGAGCTCCTGAGCTCTCTCCTGTCTGGGGGCTTAAGTGAGTTCCAGCACATTTCCAACATCAGGTGCAATGCCTGGTCCTCCTTCAGGAGCAGCATTTCTTTCCCAGGGAAAACTTATCAAATATCCACTCCATTTATACGATGGCCTTGGACCTCTGTATCTCTTAGCATCACAGCCTCTCCAATGCAGCTTTCACTATAGATACCACTTAACATTTAATGGTATCAAATTTTATTATCTGTTACTGTCGCTTATCATCACAGAAGTCAGGGATCATGTTTTCTGCACATTACTAACCTCAAGCATCTAGGTGCCTGCCACAGACAGGTACACATTGAATCACAATAATGTGAATGACTGTCCCAACACAAACACTCGCAGGGCACCAGAGGACGGAACATATGAGTAAGCACAAACCACCTTTTTGTGAACTCTGATGGCTATTAGCATTTTCACAGCATTGAAAAACATGCTGGTGTACTCTCACATGCACATGCACATGCACACACATGTATTTTTGTGAGCAAGCATACAATGATATTAATATTATGGGTGGTTAAAACTGCTGTATGCAACAGTGATTAATTTGGGTTTTGATGGTGGCTCTTTTTAATAACTCTTGTTATTAAAAATCCCTGAAAGGTATAGAACTACTTTACATTAGGATCCTGCAGAAAAGAGTCTGACTTAGGCAGGATTAGCTAGCGCCCAACATGCTGAAGGAGGCTGATGAAAACACCAGGTCCACGTCTGCATCTGCAGACACAGATTTGTGATGATAAGTCATGTTTTCCTTCTGGCAGTCTTGCAAAGAGATGGGAAAAAAAAAATAACAAGTTTCAATTACAATGAGATGGCTATCATTTCCCTGTAAGCTTTGTATGCAGTCTCTTTCTTTCTTTCTTTCTTTCTTTCTTTCTTTCTTTCTTTCTTTCTTTCTTTCTTTCTTTCTCTTTCTTTCTTTTTTTCTTTCTTTCCCTCCCTCCCTCCCTTCCTTCCTTCCTTCCTTTCTCTTTCTTTCTTAGTTATGTGGTATGAACATCTTAAAAACAGAACCAGGTTTTCAAGCAGAAAACTTTATACTGGCTTTGGGTATCCTCTTCAGTCCTTGGTTTCTCCACGTTAGAAATGCTGGAGTAATGCTGGCAAACTTCACTCAGGAACATAAGAAATCAGCCATGTGTCATAGAAGGAGGGGAGCCCTGTTCCTGGCCACTGAGTGTCATTTTGCTCCTTCTCTGTCCTCACCTCCAGCAAAAATCCAATTGCTCATGTTGAGCTTCTAGTTTATTCTGATATCTGTGCAATTTTATTATTCTAGCAGTCATTTAACTTCAGAAAATTGAAATAACTTTGAAGGAGAGAGAGAGAGAGAGAGAGAGAGAGAGAGAGAGAGAGAGAGAGAGGGCTTTTCTTTTCTTTTTTTTCTTAACAACAAAGCAGCCTAATGTTTGCTTCTGAAATAGAAAAACATGTTTGATTAAAAAACCCAATCTTGGATAAAACAGTAGGCTTACTTTGACCAGGTAAAAAGCAGTTTTTCAAACATGAAGAAAATAAGTAATTTTTCTGAGATATTTTTCCTCTCTTAAACACACACACACACACACACACACACACACACACACACACACACCTCTCTCTCCCTACCATTCTCCCTTTCCCAAAAAGCACACCCTATTCCTATACATCCTCAGAAGTAGAGAATGCAGTTACTCTCAAAATCTCCAAAGAATTTACTAGTAGTAAAGCTCCAGTTAAGTCTCTCCACTGTTTGGTTACAGGGTTTTTCATTCTGTCCAAAGCTGATTGAAGGTCTTGTAAAACATCTCTGTAGCTATTTCCATAGTGAGCACTCCAATTATAGAGAAAATCATAGGCAGGTTTCCACATCATCTACAAAGGGAAAAAAATAGACTTGAATAGCATGGAAATAGAACAGGAAAATAGAAGCCTTTTAAAAAGGTTTAAGACCTCTTAAGACTTAACATGGAATGCCAATTATACATGGACTTATTTGATGTCATAAGAAAGAGGGTTTAATAACCATCAGTTTTTTGTTATATTCCTGTTTCTAAAGCTAAAGATTTTTAAAATAGTGACTATAAGTATGTTTTTTTTCTTTTTTCTTGATGCATCATCTTATTGCTCTTTGTTTTGATGTTAAGTTAAAACTCCTTGCACAATTTTTTTTGACAATAACAAATGTTACTACCATAAACCCTTAAGGCTAAATAAATGACTATTATTATTATATGTGGTGAATTTTATGACACTACATATAATGACTTATATAACATATTTTACAGTTCTAATTCATTTTATTCAAGCAAGTCTATAAGCAAGAAAAATTGTAGCTTCATGATCAAGTCAAAATGAAAGTAAAAAATAGCTCTTTAGTTCAAAAATTGCTTCAATGTTACATTTTATGACCAAAGAAAGAACAATAGTCAATGCTTCTTCACTTTGCTTTCTCTAAGCACCTGCCCACATCAATGATGTCATTGTTTCCATAGAAATAAATGTACGTCAAAGGAATACTTCACATACAAGTGCATATGTAATGGTAACCAAGGCAACCAGGCTCAGAGAGAATAGAGACAAAGGCAGATCAAATAAGACAAATGGAAGAATGCATACACACACAGACAAACACACACACAGTGTAATGACAAAACAGAAAAATGACACAATGAACCGTGCACTTACAATTGGAATATTTGGAATATAAACTTCATTACTCACTACTCATTTGGGCTCACTAAACTAATTCAGTTATGATTCTATCACTTGAAAACGTAGGAACACAGACTGAACTAAATATTATGTAGAATTGCCCTCTAAAAATAGTATCCATTAACAGTAATATCACATGAAGTGGGACTTTGAGATGTCATTTTTCTCTTTCCTTCAATATCACCATATAATCTACAACTGAAGTGAAAACAATTAAAGGCCTAAATAAGAAGTTCCATTCTATTTTGGTTCAATCCATATAAAGTCTCAAAGTATAATTTGATACTATTTGTTGAGAGTATCATGAACACCCATATGCCCACCTCTCTTGACAAAGCTCAATTCTGCAAAATAAGAGAAGAAAAAATAATTGTCAAGGTTATATCATAGCAAGGTCTATGATATAGCAAAAAAAAAAAAAATCATCTCAGATTTACCCTCATTGAGTTTTACTCTCACCAAACCTATTAATAAAGAATTGTACCTTTCACCACTGACAGACTATGAGTGGGCTACCCTGTCACTTATATATCTGAAGACTTACATTGAAATCAAACTTCTCAAAGTATAGGTCATCACTTTCAGATCATCAATGGAAGACAAACTGAAACATATTAATAGAACCTTTTTGTTAGATTCAGTCTTCACTGTGATTGCTCAGATGAAAGGAAATGCTAGATAAATAGATTATTCTGTAGTGGGTTTATCCTGCTGATAAAAATCTCTGGAACCTATATTCTACATTGCATTCACTTAAAAGCCTCTGATGCTCTACTTGGTACATCATTTTTCAATTTGTCATGTATTGTTGAAAATAATGTATTTACAACTAATGCTTTCTAAGACTGTTCTAAGTCCCTTTGTTATTGAACCTGATCAGCGATGCATTTGGAAATATTCATGATAAATCGTAACTGGGAACTTTTTGGTAACAAGATGCTGGCAAAGGAGATTAGCATAAAATATCGCAGAAAGTAGATGTATTTTAAAAATTGCAAGTGGGTAATTTGGGGGTTGGTCACTGCTGTGAGAATTCGAGTATCTTTATAGTTAGAAGTGGTCAAAATGGCCTCTCTGACTTTCCTAGGTAGAAAACCTCTGTATCATTTATCTTGCTGCAGCACTATGAATTGCTATGTATAGAAAAGCCCTGAGGCACACTCAATCATGAAGCATCTTCTCAGAGATGCGGGGAGCAGGAAATACACACAGGTGATGCATAAATTAGAAGGTACAGATTCAGGAGAGATCCAATGATACATCTACTTAGGCACTTAGGCAGAGTGCTATGTAAACCCCTCACATTTGCCAATTTGTACTAATTGCAGAACATGCACTCAGCTCTTGCAATTCAGAGACATTTGGATAGATTGCTGAGTAATGAACCCTAATTAATACTTCTGAAACTATAAAGAGATTTCCTGGAGCCTCCTGGATTAGTTAGAAATGCAAGGAGGGGCATTTCCCTAAAATCATGTGAAATCCCCTGGAGTCTAAACCATAATCTGTTTAGAAATGGGAACAATAGCTTTGGGACAAAAACAGCCAGGCGTTGGTAAACTTCATGATTGGTACTAAAATATGAGTATATTTTGTATATGACTTTTGTTGCTCACTGCAGCAAACTAAACCTGGGTATTTCTTCAGTGTAAAATCTGATCTGCCATATATAAAAATCACTGATAGTTGCCAACACAGATAACACAGAAATGCTCTCATAGCCCCTGAGCAAGGATAATACACAAATTCGTGAAGGTTCCATATTTTTTTGCAGGTAAATGGATGGCGTTGGAGAAGATGATGCTAAGTGAAGTCAGCCAATCCCCAAAAAACAAATGTTTTTTCTGATATAAGGAGGCTGATTCATAGCCAGGTAGGGAGGGGGATCATGGGAGGAATAGATGAATTCTAGATAGGGGAGAAGGATGGGAGGGAAAGGGAAGGGAGAGAGGTTAGCAAGGATGGTGGAATGTGATGGATTCATTATCCAAAGTACATGTATGAAGACACGAATTGGTGTCAACATACTTTATACACAACCAGAGATATGAAAAATTGTGCTGTATATGTGTAATAAGAATTGTAATGCATTCCACTGTCAATTATTTTTTTAAAAAAATGAATAAAAAAAGAAATTTAAAAAAAAGAAATGCTCTCATAGTACAAATACAGCAAAAAAATACTCAAAATACTGTTCAAAGTCACTGTTCATTAGTTAGTTTACTTATTAAATCAAGATTGAGTTCCTAGCAGTACAAAGAATCTTGTTACAGCAAGGAATAAAATGATGACTAAAGCATGGCTCTTGCTTTTAGAAGTTTATATCATAGGAGAGAGGCAGATACTTGCACAAACACTGACTCAGTGGGAGGACAGGCAAGACTTGGTAGTCAACAACAGTTAGAAAAAACTAAAGAATTACTATAATTTTAAAATTAATGGGGGAGAAAAGAAGACCATCCCATTGGCTGAGAGACAAGATGTTGCAATGAAATAAAGATAGGTTTTGGTGTGGATCTTGTAACTGTATCTGAGTTCCACTGCTTATGGGATGGGTTAACTTGAATCAATTAATCAAATTAATTGAGCTTTGAATTTATTAAATCTATAAAATATGAATAATAATTCCCATGTCTTATGTTCACATGAAGGCAATTCATAAAGTTTCTGATATATGGTGTTATGGTTTGAATGTGAGGTGTCCCCCAAAATCTCATGTGTGAGAGAATGCAAGAATGTTCAAAGGAGAAATGGTTGAGTTATGAGGGCCTTAACTGAGTCAGTGAATGAATCCCCTGATGGGATTAACTGAGTGATAACTGAAGGTGGGTAGGGTATGGCTAGAGGAAGAGGGTCATTGGAGGTGTGCCTTTGGGGTATATATTTGGTATCTGGAAAATGCAGTCTTTTTCTCTACTTTCTGATAATCATGTGAGACGTTTCCCTCTACTACTCTCTTCTGCCATGATGTTCAGCCTTACCTCAAGCCCTGAGAAATGGAGCTGTGGACTGAGACCTCTGAAACTCTGAGCCGCCAAGTAAACTTTTACTCCTCTATAATTGTCCTGGTCAGGTCTTTTAGTCATAGCAGAAAAAAAAAAAAAAAAAAAACTGACTAAAACATGTGGTTTGAATTTAATGCTTTCTAATAGGATGTGGAAGAAAGTGAATATGCTTTAGTGGGGGCTTCTTATCTGTTGAAGCCTAGTATTACCCTTATTGAATGTGAGATAATGGAGGGAAGTTATATGATAAGAAATTAGAATGGGGAAATAAACCTTTGACTGCTCTGTGGAGGTTATCATCCATCATGCTACAGGAATGGAGAAAAGTGTGCAAGCAGAGGGACACACCAAACAAGAAAATAAAGGGATGAAACTTCTAAGCCTAACCAAGTCTATAGTTAGTGAATACAATAAGACACAGAAAGCAAGAGAACAATGGTGAGAGGCTCGAGTTGGAGTGATGGAAAATGATGCCAGGTCTTTCATGTTGCAAAAGGCAGCAACTAACAGCATCCCAAGGAGAATATCCAATGATTTACAAGAACCTGTTCACACAAGCTCCCCATGACTGATCACTCACATATCCCCCAACTCCATGTGACATCACATTGTTAGGCCCAAATCACCCATGTTGGGAGTAGTCAAGCCATGGAAATTAGCAAAAGCTATAAATGAGAGCATTTCCCTCTTGGAGAACTGAGTATGCAACATTTTACCACCAAACTACAGAGAATATCCCTTTTTCTGTAATCTCCCTCACTACTGATAATGTAAAGTGATGTGAAAATATAAAGAAAAACTTAGAAAATTCAAGGTTGTTCAGTTGCCTAACCTTTGGTAACGTTGGCGAAAGCAGTTTGAAGAGGATGATCGCAGAGCATACTAGAGATATGATCAAGCAGCAAATAAATTAAAGTCACAGAATAAAGATGTCACATTTGACAGGAGGCTGAGACAGGAGGACTGTGAATTCAAAGCCAGCTTCAGCCACTTAGCGACGTCCTAAGCAACTCAGAGAGGCCCTAAGCAACTCAGTGAGACTGTCTCTAAATAAAATACCAAAAAAAAGGGCTGGGGATGTGGCTCAATGGTTGTGTGCCCCAGGCTTCCATTCTCAGTACCAAAAAATAAATAAAAATAAAAGGAAGTCACATT